CCTCCCACTCCCAACCCACCCAACCGCCACAGCATGATACTGTGGTCCACAGTATCAAAAGCCGCTGAGAGGTCCAAAAGAACAAGGACAGAGGAACAACCCCTGTCCCGGGCCCTCCAGAGATCATTTACCAACGTGACCAATGCCGTTTCCGTGCTGTACCCCGGCCTGAAGCCCGACTGGAGAGGGTCCAGATAGATGTGTAATAAGATTAATAGATTTTTGGTTTAATATGGTGGGGGGGAAGAGAATTTTTAGAAAATAGAATAAGATTATATGCAAATAGATAAGATGTATATTTAGAATATTAGATTTTGTTATAAAAAAGGGAAAAAGTAGAAGTTGAGATAAGGGAAACTCTAGTTACCTAAAGCTTAGAAACTATAACATACCAAATGTTAAGTTGAATATTGAAGGGAAATTAAAGCCTGGGGAAAAAGCTTCAACAGGACATTGATTTATATAAGATTGAATGTAAAGACAATTAAGATATGTATAAATTTAAAATTATTGATAAATGTAACAAAGATGGTTTTACTTAGTTGATAACAATAAGAATTATATTAATTCAATATGAGATAGTAGATATTAAGGGATAAAGAGAGGAAATATCTGATATTGTAACTTGAGATTTGTGCTAAAGGTTTATGCATGTTATGGAATCATTGATTACCCAGTCACCACGTTGTTTTTTAAATGTTTAATTGTAAAATTAGAAAATCAATAAAATATTATAAAAAGAAAGAAAGAACTGAAATCCATAATAACATGTCTTCAGCTGGTTACATCTGGTCAATTTATGCAGAGAAATCTAGCAGCTTAAGGGTACAAAACAGAGAAGTCTGAAGTTTCTTTCAATCCAAATCAACAATTGGTCACTTTGAGACATGGCTATGTAATTTCCTTAACAACAATATGGAAGTAGTTTGCCACTGCTTTTTAGACTTTTTTAGTCTGGCATTTCCTGGTGGACTCCAAAACAGGCCTACCAAGCTTAGTTTTTCAAAGTCAGCCAAGTTTGGTAGGTGGGTATAAGGTTAGCAGGATGCTTAAACCATTTAAAGGTTTTGTGCCTGAGATGGAATGGAACGACTATTTCAACACAGTTACAAATGTGAAAGGTATACAAAAATTCACCATTTCTCAACTTACAGAAGTAGCTTCAAATCTGACTTTCACATCATTTCTGATGACAGGACAGTTTTTCAAACCAATTACTATCAGGTCATTTTCATGATCAAGGAACAACTGAAACAAAATAGATATACATCTTATTCTCACTCACTAAATGTTTCTCACAAAATGTAAGACTGTAATTTATTAGTTCTTTTTCTCATGCACTGAAAATACCACGAAGGAGCTTGAAGGGAGGTGTAGCTCATTATCTGTTAATATTTCAATAAGTCTCTCCACTCGAGAGGACAAGATTATGTATGTGAGAGACTGAAAGTCATATGCATATTGCATTACCCATTTTGGCTCAAAAGGAAATTTTAAAGGTAAGAAGTCATGCCATAAAACTGCCATTTAGCTCTTGAAGAGATTATACAGTTCTATAAGTATATAGCCTCATGCAATATTAAAGAGCTCTCCACTAGTGCTTTAGGTAATAATTAACTCTATTTTGAATGCAGCTTTTTCTAAACTAGTTTGCTTCTCAAAAGTTACTTCTTTCAAGGCATGAACATTAAAAACACATTCTTCTCTGATCCTCAGATGGATTAATGCCACCTCTAGTTAATTTATCACTATTTGTGGGAACTTAACTGACATATAATAATCTATCAGCCTTTCTGGATGTTAGTCAAATAGCATGCTAGCTATTTTTGTAAAAAAACTGCAAAAGGATCTGTTATTCTCACAACACAGCCAATAGGAATAGCAAAAGCTGCCATATTGCAAGTCAGATTACTGGTGTGCCTAGCACTTTCTTTTTTATGCTGGTTCTCCAGGATCTCAAATAAGAAATTTCTCCTTCCCATTTATAGATTCTAGAACAGGGGTGTCAAACTGCCGGCCCACAGGCCAGATGCATCATGCCAAAACCGCGCCCACCCCATTGCCGGCAATGGAGAAAAAGTCGCAATACGTCGGGACACGTCACATGATGTTGCGAGTTTGACACTCCTGTTCTAGAGACAGAATTGAAATACCTGGCATGCATCTACTAAGCATGGCCCTTCTCACTACTTTATTCATCACTGCCTATTTGGAATTGTTCAATCAGTGAACTCAAAGCAAGGATGCCTCAGTTTTCATTGCAGTACACAGATCTGTGCTGCAATTGAACATGGAATGAATGGGAACTCTATCAACAAATCCTGGCCTTCATGACCACAGGATCCTTAAATTAACATGAAGCTCTGACCTTGCAGTTCATTAGTGTTGCACAAATGCACTGAAATGCTACATCCTTCTTCATTATTATCTGTATTCTGAAATCAGTTCCATTGCCCTTACCAACTCCTAGAGGGAAAAGAGGAGAAATGGAGACAAAGACATGCATTAGATAATTACTGGAATCAAACAATAGAATTCATATTTTAAAACAAAAATATCCCGTGATGTTGCAAAATGACCAGCTTTTTCATCTCCTAGTCCTTTCCAATCCAGTTTAATATGTTCCCAAGGTTGATCTGGACTGTTCTGACAATTTGACGATGTAAATACTAGGAATACAATAATATTTATAGGTTTGCTAGTCTGTAATTCATAGAGAACCATCAATCCATCATTCCTAGCTTGTTCTACTTTCAAGCTGGCCAATAGCTGCCTCCTTTTACTTGATCCACATCTAAGCAAGCATTCCTTTTTCACTCTTCACAAAAAGAAAAGACTAAATTGACATTGTGTTTTTCTATGTTTCATGTATGTCTATGCAATTATGTATCCATTGATTTTGTAAAAAATGCAGTTATAGTTTAAAGGAAAACTATGCAATAGGGAGGTAGATTAAAAATTGCAGGTACACTGAAAAATCTCAACAGCTTTCAGTTTCATGGCAGCAAACTTGCCTTCTGAAACTTGCAATGCTGCTAAACCAGCAATTCTGTATTTGTGTACTTTCCCCAAATGTGCAAGCACATTTCTACAATGGGAAACCTAAAATGCTGAGAGACAGGTTGAGTAAAGAATCTCCACCAAACACAAGGCAGCTGGTCAATTCACTTCCTGAAATGACATCAGTAGGCTAAAACAGCACCAACACAAGGATATGTTGCAGCTGCTACCCTGCTGAAATGGATGGCTGAACATATGTGGAAGTAGACTGGAGGCTTTGAACATCCTCTTTTAAGATGGTACTGGTCTGCTCTAGCGACTTGCTTGGAACTCAGAAGAGAAGCTACAGGGATCCCAGCTCATAAAAGTATCCTAAATAAATCTAGTGTCTTCATGTCCAGTTTGAATAAGGGATAGAAGACTGGGCATAACATAGCCAATGTCTTATCCTGCATAAAGAAGTACAGAAAAATTAGATTTAACAGCCAGAGAAAACAAACTAAAAATCTAATGCAAAATCATGTTTTACCTATTTCTACAAAAAAACGAGTGACTCTTAAATCAGATGTTCCTTCTGATTAAACTACTTAGACTTCCCTTTTGATTCATAAACATTCTAGCCATTTAATAGAGGTCGTTCAAAGAGATGTTAAACTCCACTCTTTCCTCCACCTTAGTTCTGTAACTTCTTTCCAAGTTCTTCCCCAAGCCTTTGTTTGTTTGTTTTTCAAATTCTATCCCCAACAGAGGGAGATGGGACAGTCTAATTCAACAGAACCAAGAGCCATGCTTTATTAGTGGATATGAACTGGCCAGCTAGGATGAGTCCGGCTGGCTGTAACTGTCAAGAATATTCAGCCTGCCCATTCACAGCCCTACTCTGATGGTACTGGGTGATGGAAGGAACCCAACTGTGATCTAAGTGCTGAGATTGCATAAACAACTGGAAAATCCCCTTCCTACAGCATTTTAGTGGCACTTACCTTGGATAGCATAGAGCTTTATGCATCTGATTCTGAAAAGCTTCTCTGGTGGGAGGATCAGGTTGTATTCCGATTTCAAGATTTCATAATATTCTACATATCTACTCTGCAAATAAAATTTAGGAGTGCCTTGAGACAAAAATAATTTTATATAGAAATCTATAACAAATATAAATAAATAAATATTCATATCTCTATAAAGCCAAAATCTTAAGGAAAGCAAATGTCCTATTAATCCAAAAAATGGAAAGTCCGTTTATAATGTTATGTGGGAAAGTCCTTGGGAGATGGGGCAAAGAGATATCGCCCAGGAAATGGTCAAGTAAGGAACAGCGGACCCTGCAGTTGGATAGTAGGTGGGGCAACAGGCTCAGAAAGGACCCTCCCTGAGTTTCTCAGGCTGTAAATGAGATAGTAGGAGAATTGTACTTTCAGACTTGCAAAACTGATGTCAGCCTTACCAAGTAGGCCAGACATGAAACAAGATCAGATAAGCTAAATCTACTTTATTGTGAAGCTACATTAATAGAAACTTGAAAGTCTGAAGGTACAGCCTGAAAAACTAAGGAGGATCCCTTCTGAGTCTCTTGCCCCACTGACTATTCAGCTGTGGGCTACGCTGTCTCTTATCTGACCATTCCCTAGGCCAGGGGTAGGCAACCTTGGCTCTTTTATGACTTCTGGACTTCAATACCCAGAATTCCTGAGCCAGCCATGCCGACTCAAGAATTCTGGGAGTTGAAGTCCACGAGTCATAAAAGAGCCAAGGTTGCCTACCCCTGCCCTAGGCAGCATCTCTTTGCCCCCTCTTCCAAGGTATTTCTCATATCATTCTCTGATGTTTGACTTCATAAGGGGGGGGGATTTAATATTTATGTCCCAAGCTTTGCTTAACCAAAAATGACCAAACCCAAGCTATCATGATTGGAGGAAAGGCAGTGAAGCAGAACTTTAAAAAATGCAAGGTAAAAACAGAAAATGACTATTTAAATTACACAGCTATTTTGTGCCAATCAATTGTATTAATTTTTTTTAATTCAACCTTACACATAGCTTCATAGTAAATTTTTTACCTGTGATGGCGTTTCAACACCCTGAAACTTAGTGCTGGTAGTTTCATCAGTTCTTCTTTTACCAAAGTACTCCAAACTTTCCTTTAAAAATGAGAATCGTGTTACTGTAACTACTGCAGTATCTTACAGTATTCGGTTTAAGAACAACCAGCTAGAGATCTTATATCAGAAAAGTGCACAACTTGGGATCAGCAGAGTGCCTCAGGGCTACACATTTGTAAGTGGCATGCCAGAGCTACACTTCAGAAAATAGATGTGCTCAAGAAAACCAAGTGGGCAGAGTGGGGCAAAACTTAATTTGGATTTAATTAAAGAAACAATTACTTTAACACATATTTAATTATTTTCCTTTTCAGTCATATTGTAAATTACAATTCATAAGCAATTTTTGGAAGAACTATGGGCAGTTAATACCATAGTTAATACCAACTTTAAATAGAGTTCCAGGAGACATCCAAATAAATTACAAGTTGGACAACTTAATATTTGCTGTAGGCAAGCAGGTAAAATAGTAATCTGAGAAAAAAAACAACTGGACACATATAGGAACAAGCCTCATTGAAGGAATTTCACACGGTGACAGAACAGCTTTTCTGGCTCTATTACATGAAGTCTTGGATATGGCAAATTCAAACTCCTTATCAAAGATGACATTGAACAAACAGAAACTGCATGCTAGGTGGTTTGGTCAAGCCATACTGAAAGTATCAATTTTTAATTCCATTTTACATTTGGAACCCACACAGAAGAAACTATGGGAGGTAGCACTTTTCAACATGCTCTGCATAAAGAGTCATTTCAAATACTTTAACTCATTCAGAAAGAAGAGGGAAACTATCAACATTACTTTGGTACCTGCGCAGTCTTAAACAGGCCGGTGTCAATAAGCCAGATGCAAATCATAGTTCCAGTCCTACCTGCATCAAAAAGGGGAAATCAGTGACTTAGAAATAATGTCATGTTTACTTGTCCCCAAGAATGAGGCTGTGAAAGCATCAGTATTAAGCAATCCCACCCCTGCACCTCCTAACCAATCTAAAACCTGAACTTTAAAAAAAATTCATCCTGCACATCTACCACCAGGTAATGCAAACAGTCTTCGCAGATAGCTACTATCAGTGAATGCTAAATCTATTGAGCCGTAGTGGCGCAGTGGTTAGAATGCAGTACTGCAGGCTACTTCTGCTGACTGCCAGCTGCCAGCAGTTCAGCAGTTCAAGTGTCAAACTGCCATCCTTCGAAGATTGGTAAAATGAGGACCCAGATTGTTGAGGGCAATATGTAAACTGCTTAGAGAGGGCTGTAAAGCACTGTGAAGCGGTATATAAGTCTAAGTGCTATTGCTATTGCTATTTCAGAATTTCCATGCATCCCAGATAATGACTGATAATCTAAGGCAGGGGTAGGCAACTTTGGCTCTTTTATGACTCATGAACTTCAGCTCCCAGAATTCCTGAGCCAGCCATGCTGAGGAGAAAGAGAGAGGTTTCCAAGCTGAGCCATGTTGGCTCAGGAATTCTGGGAATTGAAGTCCACGAGTCATAAAAGAGCCACGGTTGCCTACCCCTGATCTAAGGTTTTCAGAAGGGCTAAAAATAACATTCCCCTTGAGTATGTCTGAAAGATACTGGATTGCTAGTATCTGCACGGGGCTGCTTTTCAAGACCATGTGAGGCTACAGTCAGCACATCCCTTAACTAATACATTATCTGAAAACATTTTATCAGCCCTTCAGCATTAATACTGACAGATGCTAGCCTCTGAGTCCAATTCAGGGAATCATTTTACACACTCTCCTGCACCAGAACAATTGTCAAAAGAGGGATCTTTGGAACTTCCAAACCAGAAAGTTCACATACCTTTCCCACCTTTACAGTGTATTGCTATAACATTGTGGTTGTCCTGTTCCATCCATTGCCTCACATTGGCAGTGAATATGAGCGTCTCCCTTAAAGAAAAGGAAGAATGCCTTATTTAAGAGCTTATGTAAATATTGCTGTAGAAAAATTAAAATGTTCTCTCATTTATCAGAACAGTGGAATTTCTTATAACCACACACCATTTCCATTTAAGCATCTTTAGGTTACCTCTGGAGATAAGCCAGAACATAGTTCATAGGAGAGATTTTTAAGTACTTTCCACTAAAAAGACTTGCATTGCTGTTCACAAGTGGAAACAAACTGTTCACAATTGAAAACAAACAAGGATGAGATGCTATCAATATGCTGATGATACTTAATTGTATATGCCACTCCGGTCTGGCTGGAGATATTATACAAGTCTTGTCCAATGCTGGGAGACTCTTAGCATTTGGATGGAAGAAAACATGTTAAAGTTAAACCCAGCAAAATAGAGTTGCTTTTCTTTTGGACTCATAGCTCCTAATAGTAGGTCAAGCTGTAATAATGAGGCCCTTAGTTTCAGCTGGTACACCAGTTGCAGCCATGCCTTGACTGGGAATAGCTTCTTACAATGACTCCTGCCCCCATCACCACTTGCTGGGATAATTGCAAAGCACATTACATGGGGCTACATTTGAAAACCATTCCAAAAACCATAACTCGTACAGAATGTGGCAGTCTGTGCGTAGTCAGGTGCTTGACACAATGACCATGTTATACCATTTCTGCAAATCCTGCAGTAATGTCCTGGTGGCTTCTGGGTGGAAATCAAAGTGCTAGTTATAACCTACCCAGCCCTTTATGGCTTAGCCCTTAGTACAGTGGTGACGAACCTATGGCACGCGTGCCAGAGGCGGCACTCGGAGCCCTCTCTGTGGGCACACATGCCGTTGTCCCAGCCTTGCCTCCTCCCGCAACCCCCTCACCAGCAGCCCCCCTGGAGGAGAGTCATCCCCGAGCGTGGCCCACGCAGAGCAGTGTAGCCAAGGACATGGCAACCAGGCAGCGTAGACAAGACTCTGCCCTCCCGCCCCATCGCACACAGTTGATGCTGCAGGGCGCGGGCAGAGCGTATGGCCGCCATGGGGCTGCTGGGCTGCCTGGGCGATCTGCGGCGGGCCCTGGAGGCGGTGAGTGGCCCTGCAGGCAAGCGGGATGGGGCGGGGGCAGGTTTTGGGCACTTGGTCTCTAAAAGGTTCGCCATCATGCCTTAGTACTTTCAGGTTAGCCTCCTTCAAGTGGATTTGACCTGTCCAAGGCTTTTCTCTTGGGAGAAGCTGCTGGTATTGCTTTATTTCTAGGAAGTGATGGGACTGAAGTCCAGAGGCACTATTTCTCTCTGATGACTCCTGCCCTCTGGAATCTTCTCTCTCTGAGATGAGATTGAGTTCACTGATTATAACTTTCAGGAAACAAGTTAAAAGTAAGTTATTCCAGAGGGCGTTTGAGTATTAACTAATGTTGCAGGATTCAGTTATTCAGAGTTTTAATTAATCTATATTTTATTGTGGATATTTTATTTGTACTTTATTATTGTGAACTGCCAACAGTTGTGAGATAACAGTATATAAATTCAATAGACTATAGATTTTCATAGGTTATATATTTTCATAGACTATAGGTATCTGCAGACTTTAAACAACTGGATTTGGTTTATTCAGCCTTGATTTATTGTCAAATCTACACAGCACCATTGCAGAATCATACTTACGCCAAAGTGGGAACATTGTGGTCATCAATAAACATCCGCTCCACTCTATAATGGAAAATCTCTGGGTCATAGCCCTGCTCACCTGCAGGAAAAAATATTATACAAATATTATGTATATAAACAAAGTTCCATTAGGAAAATTCCAAAGCAATACTTTGGACAAATATCTAGATCTTAAATGGTACTTGGGCACTATTTACCCCACAATTCCCTTTGGGCATTGACCAGACTCCTTGCTCCACCTGATTTTTTTATATATATTAAAATGCACACCCACGGCTTTTAAAAAGGGAAACTGCGTATTTTCATCCTTTTCTGTTCTTTCCTGAATATCTGGGTCCCTTAAGAAAATAAAAATGTTAAGCAACTTTAATCAATATGTTTAGTTTCGAAGTGTGTCCATCTGCTCAGAAAAAGGACAATACTAAGCCAGGGCAATATAGCATATTCAATAAAAGGAATACTAATAGCATGGCAAGTAACATTCTGGAAAATCTTTACTTTGAAATTGGTTACATCCCTGCCAGCCATCAGGCAATCTTTATCAGTAATTGTTTTGCAACAGTATCACTTGTTCTCAAACTTTAAATGTACCTACTCCAAAAAGGCTGGCAACCTCTGATCTATACCAAATTTTATATGACTTTGATGTAAATTTGCCTTCCCTCTAATTAGTCAGTGGAAGTTCCAGTTTTAACAACAGATTGGAGAAGTTTTTAAAATTAGCAACAAAAACATCTATGATTCATCTGATTTATAGAATCAGATGTATCAAATTACAATATGTATTTCATCTCAGTATTCAAAGCCCAGCAGCGCATGGCCCTCTGAAGTGCCAATATCTATATGGTTTATTAAATACATACACAAAGATGCATCCCATTAAACTGTGTAGAAAAAAAGCAAAGCTATATTAATTCCAAATTTCTACTGGCGTTGACAGGGTAGCAAACAGCAATATGTTCAACCCTCCTTCTTGCAATTATACTGAATTTTGTTGCTGACAGAAACAGTTAACATCTATGGTTTTTAGATAACTGCTGAGCTACAGGTAGTCCTCAATGTACGACCACAATTGGGACCAGAATCTTTATCATTGAATGACACAGATGTTGTAACCCTAGAAAAGTTTGATTTAACACTTGCCACGAGGCTTGACATTAAGAAATGAACTGAAAAAATTAGTCTATAACTGAAGCAGTTTTTCCTTTCTAGATGTTTTGTACCTTCCAGATGTTTTGACATTACAATTCAAGAAGTTTCAGTCAGCAAGGTATTGAAGCCATCAGATGGAGACCACTAAGTTGGGAAAACATGAACTGAGGAAGACTAAATAACAGTCATTATGCTGAAGAGGTTAAAAAAAAGTGGGAATATGTATGTATCTTAAGGCTATCATAAAGACTAAGTTCTGTATCATTCAGAACTTTATTTTAAAAGGAAACAGTTACTGATTTAGTGTGGTATGGTTAAAATATGTGATACCCAGATTCATGTCCCCCCTCAGCTATGGACATTCACTGCATATCTAGAAGGAAAAAATAAGATGGTGGATGGTGGATGGCTTGGTTTGTGATTAGAACAGATGCAGTAGAAGTTTTCCTGACTGCTCCAGTCTTGGTGACTAAGAAACAAAGTAATACTTACTACAAAGATTGTAGACTTTGTAGTGGTCTTCATGTTTTGTGTCCAAGAACTTTGCAACTTCCTTATAAAAAATAATCATTTATTTTAATTGTCAAGGTGGCATGAATTATTAACGACTTTATTTATCTAACTGGTTTCAGATAGAAAGTATTTCAAGGAAGATTCAAATCTCAGACAGAGGGGTTTGATGCTGATATGGAGACATACAGCAACCTCCTGCAGTCTGACTTCTACTTTCATAATTTCCAACCAGTATGCTGGCTAAATTATAAATACTAGTATTGCTAAAGTCCATCAATAAACTAAAGCAGTACTCAGGGAAAGAGACAAACCACAGTACATATTCTTACAGATCAATCCATCCATTGATAAGCTGACTCTTGAATTTTTAATCAAAATGCTGTACCCTGAAAAATGTGCCACCCAGGGTAAGCCAACCCTAAAAAATTTTGTCTTTTAATTTTCACAATTTGCTTATCTTCAGGCGGCACATTATCCATGGTATTTTGATTAAAAATCCGAGGGTCAGTTTCTCTGCTTATATACAGGTAGTCCTCGACTTACGAACCATAATTGAGCCCAAACTTTCTTTTGCTAAGCAAGACAGTTGTTAAGTGAGATTTGCCCCATTTCATAACTTTTCTTGTTACAGTTGTTAAGTGAATCACTGCAGTTGTTAAGTTATTTACACAGTTGTTAAGTGCCTCTGGCTTCCTCATTTACCTTGCTTGTAAGAAGGTCACAAAAGGTGATTACATGATCCCGGGACACTGCAACCATCATAAATATGAGTCAATTGTCAAGCATCTGAATTTTGATCATGCGACCATGGAGATGCTGCAACAGTCGTGTGAAAAAAGGTCATAAGTCACTTTTTTCAGTGCCATTGTAACTTTGAACAATCACTAAATGAACTGTTGTAAGTCGAGGACGACCTGTATATGTATTTTTAAAAAGTACTACCAGAAGAGCCCGCCCAGGGAAAAGCTGAACTCAGTTTTGGGGGTATATTTTGGCACCTAAAATTCCCTGCTCATCCATGAGTATATATGGATATGTGCTTATCATACCATAATCCATAGTGTGGAGGACCTATAGTAAATATTCATACTGATTTTTTATTCAAAACGCAGAATGCATTTTTGCTTTATCTGCAAACTCACAAGGACTGTACTTTTAACTGCTAAATTTGATAGTTGCTGAAGGAGCCAGATAGTCAGAATTCTGAGGCCTGCAAAACTCACCAATTTAGAAGAGGAATTGAATACCATTGAATACCATTATTATATTAACAGAAAAACAGAGTTGGAAGGGACCTTGGAGGTCTTCTGGTCCAGAGGTCACCAACCTTTCCCAGTTGGCGGACCAGAGGGAAAGAGAAGGGGAAGCATTTTATGTGCGCATGTGCGCACAAATGGGGCCACGAGTATGCGTGTGCCACAACGGGGCGGCACTAGCGCCATGATACTCACTAGCCCTGCCCCATTCTTGCACGCCACGATGTCCCATTTTCACATCCCACGGCGCAGTGGCGTTTTTGCACCCCACGGCATGGCAGCATCCCGTTTTCACGCACCAAGGCACACCGGCATCCTGTTTTTGCGCCCTGCAGCCATGGCGCTAGCACAGCTATGGGGGGGAGGTGTGCGTGCACACATGCACACACTGGCCAGCCTGTCTCGCAGCCCAGTGGCCAGCAGGCCAGGGCCCGGTAGTTGGCTGCGGCCCACAGGTTGGGGACTCCTGTTCTAATCCAGCCCTCTGCTGAAGCAGGAAACCCTATACCATTTTAGACAACTGGCTATTCAATCGCATCTTAAAAGCCTCCACTGTTGGACCAACCACAATTTCTGGAGGCAAGTCGTTTGACTGATTGTCAGGAAATTTCTCATTAGTTCTAGGTTGGTTCTCTCCTTGATTAGTTTCTATCCATTGCCTCTTGTCCTGCCTTCAGGTGCTTTGGAAAATAGGTTGACCCACCCCTTCTTTGTGGCAGCCCCTTAGATATTAGAAAACTGCTATCATGTCCCCCCAGTCCTTCTTTTCATCAGACTAGACATACCCAATTCCTGCAATCATTCTTCATACCTTTAGCCTCCAGTCCCCTGGTTAGTACATTGACACTTTTATCAGCACAATTTGGGGTTGTGATATATAGTTGGGTATCATCGACATAGGGTTTCCTGCTTGAGCAGGGGGTTGAACTAGAAGACCTCGAAGGTCCCTTCCAATTCTGTTATCCTGTTATCCTGTTAATAATGGTATTAAATCCCTCTTCCAAATTAGTAAATTCTGTAGGCCTCAGAATGCATAATCAACTGCCAAGGATCCATTCACCATATGAGATGCTCATCCTTGAGTGCATTAACAGCTGAAAACCGTTTCATTGACAAATAATAATACCAGTAGCAACATAAAAAAAAAATAGCAATAGTGAACAGGTCTTGAGTAGTTATCATTTCTCATTGCTTATCATTGAAACCCATTTTTTCATACGTTAAGTAGCTGTTAAATTTATATATGGATTCATGCCTAAAGCTTTGAGGGGAAAAAAATCCTAAGGGCAGACTATATTTTACATTGCAATATAGCTTTAGCTTCCAAGAGGTCTTTTCTTCTACAATTAATATGGTATCCCTTACAATCATACTAAAATTAAACACCACCAATAATTGGGAGTAGAGGAAAACAAAAAGCAGGATTCACAGAATAACAGAAATTATTGCCATCATCTTTTAATCTTTAGATTACCCATATAGGATTCCTGTAGAAAGCTTGCTGCCCAGAAGATGGAAACGACATTGCTATAACACGAGCTAATGAACAGATACAAATAAGCAAAAAAGAAAGAAAACGTTAAGATCCGCGTTGTGAGACCAATGGGAGATTTTTCATAGGTTCACTACTTCTTTGAGTAGAGTCATGTGAAAAAGTAAGTATACCTCATTTTTTTTAATGTTTTCAACCTATTTCAACATACAAATATTTGATTTTTATTTCAACAATATTAATAAGAGATAAAATATTAAAAATATGCAGTGGTGGGATTCAAATATGTGAACAACTGGTTCTCTGTGGTGTGGATGCCGCTTCCAGAGGTCCATTCTAGGCCGGGGCAACAAAAAATTAGCCACCGGTTCTGCCGAAGTGGTGTGAACCGGCTGAATCCCACCACTGGAAATATGTGCCATTTACATTTAGTGATACATTGTGTAATTTAAACAAACATAAATGCAATTTTTTTGCAGAAAAACTAAGTAGACCCCCAACGTTTATCACTACTGTATCTCAAATACCTTAGGCTCAGGTGTGCCAGATCAGGTCTTATTAAAATGTTTTACTAAAACTTCAAACATTTAATTGATTTTGCTCTTTCTTGTTGAATACCTGCCTAGATCCAAAAAACTCTCAGAAGCCTTCAGAAAGGAGATTATAATGCCTGAGTTTGGGAAAGATTTCAAAAGGTTGTCAAACACCAGTGATTCCACTATCCAGAAGATCATGTACAAATGGACATCTACAAACCACAGAATTTCATCATAAGACCTACAGATAGTTCTCACCACTACTGATGTCAAAGTGCACGAGTCTACTATTGTAAAGAAGCTGCACAAATTACATCTATGTGGAACATATGCCAGGAGAAAATATTTGCTGTCCAGAAAGAACATCAGGGCAAGACTAAAGTTTGGTCATAAACATCTACACAAAGACCAGGGCTTCTAGAACAATGTGATATGGACAAACAAGCAAAGACAGAGTTATTTGGTCACAGTACCAGAAGACATGTTTGGCGAAAACCAAAGTCAGCATTTCACCAGAAGAACCTGATCCCAACTGAAAAACATGTTTCTATCAAAAAGGTAATACCAGGTATTAGAGCCAAAGGCATATTTATTTTTCCACAAAAGGAAATGACACATTTGCTCTTTTTTTGTTGTTCTTATTATTGAATTAATTATTGCAAAGTCAATTTTATAGAGTTTTTTTCTTCAATTAATCACCTCTATATTTATATACTGTTTGAATGAAGATAAAATGATATATCCACATATATTAAAAAAGAAAAAAAACTTTATATGGCGTGTATTATAAAAGTTTATAAAAGTTTTTTATAAAAAACTTTATATGGCGTGTATTTGTAGATTAAAAGCAAGAAAAACCATTTCATGATTTCAGAGATTATGACAAGGCTCTTCCTGTCAAATACAACCCTGGGGTTTGGAATTTGTACATTCTCTTAAGCAAAAACGTGACAGCTTGAGATCCTGTGGTCATAGTTGCAGATCTAACTCTGGTAAAACATTTTTTTAAAGGGAGAGAATTGGATTAATTAGTGACTTAATCAGTTCAGAAGTACAAAAGATGTTTAAAAAACTGAAGCAGGACAATTTTAAAGTTAACACCACCAAGCAAACACTAAATTTTATGCAGGAAAATAGTAACGGTGGAGTCCTTGGTGGTCTCTAAGCTTGCAGATGTTTCGTTATCAACTAAGTAACATCATCAGTGTGTGAGGTTTGCTCCACAGTAGCTTTGCCCCTTCCAGTGTTGGTAGGGGTATGTTTTTTTTCTTATTAGTTCCTTTTCTACTTGAAAACAATACTCTATTTAAGGAATTTAAATAATCAAGGAAGGAAGTTTGTCAATAACTTAACAAATACCCCCAGTTTAGCATATTAATAATGCAGAACAAATATAATGAAAAATGGACCGAAGATGCTGTGCAAATAATGGAGTGCTTTGCTCCAAACAGATTATATTAAAGTAGAATCAGCCTTTTTTTCTAAGTTTAATATGTAATTCAGATTCTTTTCCCCAATATATCAAACTTGCTTCTCCAATTTAAAAAGTTTTCTCCAGAGTCTCAGACCACTGCAGATATAGAAAGCTGATAATCTATCCTCCCCATAATGGACTGATGAACGAATAATAATCCCAGCATTTTTTTTAAATGATCATATTTTGCAAATGTGAAGGAATAAAATCTGGAATTACAGATAGTCTTCGACTTATGACCTCGGGACACTGCAACTGTCATAAATACATGCCAGTTGTCAAACGCCCGCATTTTGATCACTTGACCATGGGGATACTATAATGGTCATATGTGTGAAAAATCATCATAAGTCACTTTTTTCAGTGCCGTGGTAACTTCGAACTGCCACTAAATGAATAGTTGTAAGTTGAGGACTTACACTTACTGTATAAATTTGGTACTTTAAATAAAAAAACGTGTTGTATTACAATAAAGATATAAAAGACATCCAACAATTAAAAAGAAAAACATGATCACCAGTGAAGGATTAAACAATTTATACTAGTGTCATACCATCAGGTCTCTTAAAAGATGCTACAGCTATGAGAATTTGAATTTTTTAAGGAAATAATCTTAAATAAAGAAGTATTTTATTGGCACATATCACATAAATCCCAATATCAATCAGTAACTGTATATATTATGCAGTACAAATGGATTACAAATGGAGAAAGGCAAATATGTTACTAATCTAATTTATCCAATTTTAGATATATTAGATATTGCAACTTTCCACAATCTAATACTTTCCAAATACACTAACACAGATTCCAGAATTGCCAGTCAGCATGCCAATGGCTATGTTGCCTATGTTACTTTGGGTATTGTAATTCCACTTGAAGGGCATCAGACTGAGGAAAAATGAATTATAGTTTCTTTCAAGCTACAGCCGAAGAACCTGCTCAAGATCTAGTCACTCATGAATTACTATCAAGAAAAGGTAACACCACAGTCATTGGAAAAAGCTGCTAATGCAATTAATTCACACTGGTGTTCCCCCCCCCCATTCTTCTTCATTCCCTAGAACTAACATTCTGCCCTTCGTGAGGAACATCACTGACCCATGATATCAAAACTGTATGCGTAAACATTCTCTATTATATAAGACTTTATAACCAAGCATAATGACAGAATTAAAGATCTAATTTCCTTTTCACACAAAGAGAGGCATGACTGTGTAAATGAAAAGGTTGAAAGAGGTGGCAATGGCTCTTGGCCACATTAAGATTTTTTACATGACTCTCATTCTACAAATCTTCTGTTGCAAATGGTTAAACTTTAACTGCTCAGTATAATTGGCGAGGTCTACCTCAGCAAGCACTGATTCTTAACACAAAGAAGCAATAGTGAAGAGAAGCATAGGGATCACTACGTTTCCCTAAAAGCAGTCTTTAGATGGAAAATGGAACAAAGGGTTCTTCTTGTGTTCATCTTACACACATTCTTCCATTATCCTTGTATGCCTAGATCTCCATTTATGACAATCTCTCTACTAGTCAAGAAATACCAACCAGTGACATAAGTGAGATCCAAGTCAAAGCCACCTCTTGTGTAACGCCTTTTATTTTCTGAGACCTGTTAGTCAAAAGGGAAAAAAACAATAGTAAATAGTGATGTTAGGAAATAAGTAGTCAATCATGGAAGCATAGATTCCAGAAATTATCCCATTAAAAATGAAGAGACCTTCAAATCACTCATCTCCTGGTAACTGCCTAACACAATGGTGGAGAAATTATTTGCCACTGCATATTTCTTGAAACTTTTTCCAATATTTTTTCTGCCTAACTTTGAAGCACTCTGTCTTCAAAATCATAAGTTAGTTTAATTCAGCAGGTACTTTTTTAAAACAATACTGCAAAGGCTGGTTCAGTAAACAGTAATCTGTCTTAAACATAAGTATACATTCTATCCACAAAAACTCCTCTCCAATAAACATCTACAATGAATACGTTTTGTAAAATGTGCAGCTTTTTTTTTTCCCAAAAAATCAGGCTATTCTTTGGTCACATTTTAGGATCGAAATTTAGGTGCTGGAAGTCAGAGAAAGGTAATTTGCAAGAAAGCACTATCTTCTAGCCAAGTTTTTGTCCTAATCTACTGTAGATGGCTTTTTAAATATATCCTCAGACAAGTTACACACCCATGATGTTATCTTTAAAAAAAAATCAAGTGGTATAACTAAGCAAAATTCTACTCAAAATCAAAGAGATGTACTGTCACCCACTTGCAAATATATAATACTGCTGTTTCACTGTTAAAATGAAGTAGCACACACACACACAGACAGACAAACATACTACTTTGAGTTCAGGCTTTCAGTGCATAAAATTCACAAAGATGCTGATTTGAGAGCTTCACCTTACTATCATGGGTTCTTCAGAAAATCAAGAACAAGCATTTAAAGTGCAAAATTTGTAATCAATGTGAAACAGATGACCTATTATCTGAAACTCTGAATGAAAACCTGAATATTACATGGAATCACAAGATCTGAAAAGGTCTACCTTCCAACAAAAGACCTCAGTGTTTCCTGTCTGGTGCGCTTTAGAGAGACTGGAAATGCAGCCATCTATTCTAAGCTAACATGGGCCAGTCCTCAAGTCCTCAATTTAAGGAAAAAGTCAATTAAAAATTAATTATGGTATTCATGTTTATTAAAAGAAAGAACATTCAATCGGAGATTTCAAAATATATACACAAAAAACCTGGTTCAGTTTACCTGTTTGCAACAAGCCCACAAACCACCATATCAGCCTTCTTAGAAAGTGAATTCAGCAAATCTAGGCACCAGAGCTGACAACATTCTATTTCACTTACCAACCTCCGAGTCACTTTTTCAAGTCGTTCTGCCTCAGCAGCCAATCGAAAAATTCTTACCAGAATTATAACCCTCAACATTCGAAGAATGACAACTGTTCTGGGAAATAGAAAGAATGGGATTATATCAACTATTAGTGCAAACTTTGGCTATACCCAGATCACAATGTAGCCCCTTCTACAATGGTATTCAAGTTTGGGAATCTGTAAGTTTCAACCGCACCAAATTATTATACAACCTCATCTCCTGCCATATCTTCCCACAGGTAAAGAATTTCTATAGATATCAGAGTTATTGTGGCAGAAGAGGGAGTAAGAATGCCATTTAATATTTACTTTGTTTTAGGAACAAATGAAACCACTATTCTTATATATCAAAAAGATATCCCTCCTCAAACAAAAAAACCACAATAAGCTAGGTAAAAATCAATGCACGTAAGACCTGATAATTTATAATCTGCTCATCTCTCCCTTTTAAAGAATAAAAATTGAGGTCTTTAACAAATAGGAAAGAAATAAAACACAGCATTTCTGCATTTTGGAGTTAGACTGATCAGGTGCCTGTGGAAATTCTCAGTCATGCAGGTCACCGTTGTCTGAAAGGTGCTTTTTCAAAAGGCAGCTGGACAGTTTTCTTCCTGAGGAAGAAGAAGACATTTCACTTCTCATCCAAGAAGCTTCATCAGTTCTAGCAGGATGGTGGGGCAATGGAAGGATTAGTTCTGGCAGGATGGGGGGGGCGGGGGGTTGGAAGGATCATATTTCTTTGCAGTCATCTGGTTATTAGCACTCTCCCTGAGAGCTCTTGAAGCCTCTTGGGGGTCTATCTGTGCCCTCAGGGTCACATGTGCAAATGGGGGTGGAATCTTCTTGGAGCTGCTGCAAGGGCTATATTGTATGATAGGAGATAGGTAGTGTCTTATCCCTTCCTCTCTGTTGAGAGAGAGGGAAGAGAAGCAAAACGTCTTCCTCTTCCTCGGGGAAAAAACAGTCCAGTTGTCTTCTGAAAAAGCACCTTTGAGCTGAAGAAGTGCATATTTCTTACCTTGGAAGCAGAGTTATTCCAGCCAAGTCAGAGGAAATATATACAATATCAACCAACAATGTACCCACAACAATGATGCTATCTAGAATGTTTAATTTGGATTTGAAGTAGTTTTTGAATCTGAAATGCAAAACAGATAAGAATATTCAAACACTAAGTAACAATAGCTTAATGGTTTCCCTCTCCCAGTGTCAGAATGACAGTTGCCCATCAAATAGCTACTGCCAATAAGACCTCAGTGCTAAAGAGACAAGAGAGACGGAGGAAACACAAGATGTCTACCTTGGAGTTCTGAACAGAACCTATATTTTTCTTCCCTCCGACTGTAAATGAACTCTGTAGAAAATAGTATAGTTCTATAGAGGGTGACGATAGAGTCCATGTAGGTTTTATGACAAAAGAAGCATAGGTATCAGCAATAAACATATTAGAGATATATAGTAGAAAGACAGGAAGATACAGAATATAGTGTAGATAAAAAGCTCATGGAAAATAGTTAAAAGATAGTTTAGTAATATGATACAAATTTGTGAAATGGTTAAAGGCCCTTATAATTTACAATTCTTTTTTTTTTTTTAAACATTCCTCGTTTTGTAAACTAAACTAAAAGTCTCCCCAAGCTGTTGAAGGGAGATTCAAAAACCAAAAGGAACTGTCCAGGTTTCTAAATGCTTTGAGTCTTTATCAAATCTGAGACAATCTGATTATTCGTGGTTCAAAAATATCCTGCCATAGCTCTCCATATTGCAACAGTCTGCTGTAAAACTCACATTGTATATATTATCATCTCAGAATCTGTATGTAATCCATTCTTTTATTATTACCAGCACCTCTGAGGGAAGCAAAATGTTTTTTAAAAATACAAAAAAAGTCATTTTAAAAAGCTAGACATGCAATCCATTTAAAAGAAATAGCTTAGCACTGATCATGTTCAGTGATCATAAAATACAGACTGTTGGGGCAAAAACTGGAAGGAAAAGTGGAATTAAGTTTGCTTCTAGATTATTCCTCTGAGATGCAACGGTGCTGCCTAATTCATGATATTTTACAGTCAAGATGATATAAAATTCCATTTAGAAGCCTCCTGCCTTTTCCCGATCAAGTTCTTCATCTTTTCTTTCTACCAGAAACATATAAATTTTAAAAAAGAGAGAAACAAAAGCTCAGAAAATATCTTGGTTTGGTTGCAATGTACCTGAAAGCACTTCAGTGTCTTAAAAAATTAATAGAGTCTCTAGAAATATGAACAGGAGTATTCCAAACTATTTTTACAGATCCCCAAAAACTTTAAACCTTTAAAAAGAAAACCTTTAAAACATTTTATTTCCAGTACAATTCTACTATAGGAATACATAGATCTCCCTTCAATCCCTAGGGCTAGTTCTAAATTCCCATATTTCATTCCATCAAGATGCCGGTATAAATCAGCAGATTTCTATGTGCACATATGCTCTTACCCTTCAATAAACACTCGCAGGATTACATCTATGAAGAAAAATAATGATATACTCAAAGAGAGGTTTCCAATCATGTATTCAACAGAATTGCGTGCTTCATCAATCACCAGAGAAAGAATCACAAGTGAAACATCCACAAAAATAAGCACCACACCAAAAAATCTGCAAGTGCAAGGGAGATGAGAAATGTAGGTATATTTCAAAACAAAAAGAATGCAAGTCATACTTCTGTACTTTTTGTTTTTCTATTACTTAAGATGTTAAGATCCAATTGGTTTTGGACTACATCTTCTGTAATCTCTAGTTACCATTAACTATAGTTTTTGATAATGAGAGCTGTAGAGAAATAAATTCTGGGGATGCTTATTTTGGAAAGAAAATGGTCTTATCAAACCCTACCAATTCAGTAGTGGAATGACAAGGTGCTGGAGAGCCACAAGTGTGATGTGCAACCTGCCCACTAAAACTAAATCAGTTGAACTAAAATAGTTGAAAAGACATGAAAAAACAGTCAATTATTTTATTAACGCAGATAGTGTCCCCAAATTTATTTTAAAAATATTTGATCAAGAAATTCGTAGTATAGTCATATGCTGGAGACATGTGCATTATAGACTGGGTTCTTACATTGTGCTACACCATAATACTGTTTGATATTATGTGTCATGTGTAGTCAGACTCCATGGATTGTAAATTATAAATTATGGCTTAATAGTTGAATGAATCCAGCAAACTGTCTTACTGAACAAACCATGGTTTATAAAAATGTTTAAACTGACCAATATTTTCTGATACAGTAAATCTGTAGAATTGAAAGGGAAAAATTCCCTGTATAATTCTTTCCCTCTACTTAATTACATTTCATGTAAACTTAATACTTACCTGAATCCAAAAGACATCACACATGGAGATATCTTCTTTTTCATCTTGCTGAATAGTTGGTGGAAAAAGGGAGCAAAAGAAAAACTGTTAAAATGTTGACTAAGATTTCAAGGAACAAATCAAGCCTATCAAAATAGAGTTGTATCTGTACTCCCTGATCAGGTATAAATATTGTAGTGATATCAATAACACAGAAACTTTTATTATACTTATAAGACAGTCTAGAATTATACCTTCAGTAACAACTCACATTTTTAGGCCTGCTAGGTACTAGTTAAATCTTCCTAGCAATCCTTTTTGTTTTCCTTATAACTCCTCAAAGCAGCAATTGTTTCTATTTTTCTCAAGGATTTTTGAATCCAAGCTTTAAAAGATAACTATAAATTTTAGTGATTAATAAAATCCTATCAAAAAGAAGAACAAACAGAATTCTATCAAGAAAGAGAGCCAGTTTGGTTTAGTAGTCAAGGCACCAGGAGACTGAAAATTCTAATCCTGCCTTAGCCACGAAAGCCAACTGGGTTATTCTGCCCCAGTCTCTCTCAGCCCAGCTCACCTCGCAGGATTACTGTTGTGGGGAAAATAGGGGGAAGGAGTATTGTGTATGTTCACCACCTTGAGTTGTTTTTAAAGTAATAAATATGGGATAAAAAATTAATAAAATAAAGAAAACCAATTGTGTGCACACCCTGGATTTAGCTGCATAGATCAACTATGCCTGCAAAACAGAAGACTGCTTTTCTTATCCAAAAATACATTACTGTTCTTTGCATACCCTTGTATTAACAAGCAACTTGTTATATTCAGATTATATCTTTAAGAATTTTTTTGCTTTTTTCTATGTTTCTAATGTTTGTTAATTGTGTGATTCATTTTTCAATGTTATTTTACTATTTGTAATTATTTACTATAGATTCTCATAACTACATTGCCAATTTAGGAAGTGCTTTTTATTTTCCAGAACCAGGGCTTTTTTTCTTATAGAACGCCCAGAACAGAGTTCCGGCACCTTTTTTGGATGGAACCTTGTAGGGTAGGCAAGGCGGGTTGTATGACGTGTGTGAGTTCCGGCACCTTTTTTTTTTAAAGAAAAAAAGCACTGTCCAGAACAACCACTTGACAAGAACTAACAGAATGTCACATTTTAAAAACTAAATGCACACTTTAAATTTAAATGAAATGATAAACCAAAAAGGACCAGGAACAAATATGGTATATTTTCAAACACTAGTCTTACTCAATCAATAAAACCAACATTCTATGCTCGATGAAATTTTTAATCTCTTCTGATTTGTACTGGAACTTCCACCCTCACCCCCGCCACATTTTCCCTTTATACATACTTTTACAACCTTATGTGACTTTATTGCCATTTTGGTATCTATGGACAAGGAATTTACTTTATATAATATGGGGTTGCCCATACATTTCAGAAATAAATGCATAAATAATTCTGTGAAGTTTTGTGGAGTCCACTATTAGGTTGATTAATTGATTGCTTGATTAGAAGTTTTTACCATTTCATTTTGAAGTGACCGTGGGTGGCTTATAGCATTAAAAGCATTAAAATTCATAAAAGATAAGTATTTCTAAAAAATAAAAATGGAAATTAGAATGGTAAAATTATAGTTAAAAGATGGGAAGAGAGAGAGCAGGACGTGTAGGAGGGAGAGTTCTTAATTCATCAATCACCTCCAGTGTGATGCTCTGCCATTGGGACCCCAAGCCATCTGGCAGAGCCAGGTCTTCAGGCCCTTATAGAAGGTCAGAAGCTGATCTCATGTCAGAGGCCAAGCTGTTCCAAAGGGCAGGAGCCAGGGTAGAGAAGGCCTCCTTCCTTGACTGTGTGGCCCGCAGCATGCTCTTTCTGCCAGCATGGGTGGGGTGGGCCGGTCCCAAAGGGATGGGACAGTTTTTCAAGTAACCTGGACCCATGCCATGCAGGTCTTTAAATGGAATTACCAACACCTTGAACTGCACTTGGAAGCAAACTGGCAGCCAGTGCAGTTCACAGAGCAGTGGTTAACATGGCCTATCCTAAGGGCCTCAAGAACTGTCCACACTGCTGCACTCTGCACCAGTTGAAGTTTACAAATGCTCTTCAAGGATAGCCCCATGTAGAACACATTGCTGCAGTGCAAATGCTTGCTAAATGTAAGCATTAAAAAAATCCTGACTTTCTTTTCTCCACTAAGTTAGCTCAATAACAGAGAAATGTTATTTATAATATAATATTGTGTATTATTTAAATTTATCAGCTTACCTCGTCCATGAGTCTGAATCAGAATCTTCTTCCTCAACACCATCATCAAGAGTATCTACAGATTCCTTGGTTAGCTCAGTTCTGCCATAGAATTAATCAGTCAAGCTACTATTATAACATTTCTTCTTCAATGGTAACATAATCAACTCCATTTATCCCAAAGATAAATGACTTGTGTTATTTAAATTTTCAAACTGTTCAGGAAATTCAACTTACTTAGTACGTGTGCTTGCATCCTCTTCAGTAATCTCCTTGGTCACTTGATTTCTGCTACAGAATTAATCAATCAAGCTGCTATAGTTAATATTTCTTCTTCAAAGGCAACATACAACATCATCTCGCCCATTCTAATCACTGCCCTCCAGATGTCACATTCTAGGATTGTAGACTAAATTGGGAAGTGGAAAAATATCCCAGAAGGCAGAGGCAAACAATTTTCATATTAGTGTACCATATGGATGTGTCCGTGTAATCACCAGGAATTGGGTTTGACTCAAAAATGATTTTACCCTTATTACATCTGGAAGATGCTAAATTGTAAGATGCTGTTTTAACACTGAATGAAAAGGCACAATAGTTCACTTTCTAAACATGTACTTTCTCTTTCTTCAAAAACTGCAGGAATCAAAATTAGTCAAGGATGGAAAGGAACAACCAAGGGCATATCTTGAAAAAGTGTTTTATGAATGTATCTTCTTCATATATCTAATCACCAGGAGTATTGATTTTTCTGTTTACGCCAATGAAAGTCATCCACTTGTGGATAAAACTGAGATAGTTTCAAATGGGAAAATGTGCAGACTAATAATGTCATGGGATATATTACACCACACTTGTTCGTACAAGTTTTTCCCACATTCAAAGTACAAAATGCCCTGCACATCACAATACGTGATTCAAATTGACATTCAAATGAAATGTCTCATCTACTGTAAAATATGGAAGTTTGCCTGTTAATATTACCGCCCAGTTCAAACCATTGAAATAATGAGGGGAAATATACATGATTTGAATAATAAAGCATTAATTCGCATAACTGAGTTTTTTTATTTATGTTCACACATGATAGGATATATTGTCATTTTATTTGATTATGACAGCATGATATACAAATGTAGCCAATTAAATTAATTCATACTTTCAAAAAAATATAACTTGGATTCAAATTGTATTCTCATATGTTTGGGTAGATATGTTATTACAAATCTAGTATTAACTTGAGGCACTAGCAACCGAATCTGAAGTTCTTTGTATTCAGAGTATGGATGCTGCCATGGAACTATGATTACATTTATATTCCAACCAGAATAACTCACCGAACGGAGCCTTCTAATTCAATTTTTACAGTTGACATTATATTTTATTTCTTATGTAGTGGAACACGGCAGAGATACTGCCTATGAAAAGACAAAACACAGGAAATGTTGAGAGTAACAAAAGTGGTATTTTATACCATGCTATCCTATCAAGCACAGCTCCTTTCTATTAATGCATACATACAGGCTATTTAAGTTAATCCACCAAAATCAACTGTACATTGTCTATAAATTGGTTGGCATATCAAAGCCACATGGAGATCTGAAAGGCTTCATTACAGTGGTTTCAGATTAAAAGCTCTCAGTTTACTAAAGAAAATAAATTACAGGTAGTCCTCAGTTTACAACTATAATGGAGCCTGCCCATCATGGTCATAAATTGTGATGGTCATAAATCAGGTCACCCACTTGACCAACCTGATTTTATTACTTTTGCGGCAGTTGTTAAGCAAACATTCCAGTCATTAAGAAAACCAATTGTCTGCTATGAACTGGTTTTACTGAAAACCAGAAGTAAATGCCATAAATGTGCTCATGTGAGTGGGGGGGGGGCAGTTTTTAGAAATTTAGAACCAGGTTGTAAGTACACACAGGGAGGTTCTTCGTAATTTCAAATAGTTGCTAAGCAACTGGTTGTAAGTCGAAGATGATCTGTAAGCACATATCCCATTTCTCTTATGTTTTGTTTTTCAGAAAGAAAAAAATGAGAAAAAATGCAAGAGGATTATAAATAAAAGTATCAAATACAGTACCAAAAATGGAAGTGGATGGCTGCATAATAAAACATTATCTGGAAGGCTCATTCACTTTGGCCAGACTTCAGTTACTGTGCATCAAATTACTAATTCCTTAAATCAAGTCCCAAACTCCAGGATCACTGATAAATGGGAATCATGGCAGTGGACTTCTAAAAAACACCAGGGTTAGAGAAAGCTGACTTCAGCCTATTTTTCAATGGTGAAGTTGGTTACACCATTACCTCAGACAGGAATGAGAAATTCACCTGATCAAGTTTTAAAAAGTGAAAGGGAGCACTTTCTTACCATTCTCAATCTATATAAATAAAAATGTAAAATGTTCGTTTGTTCAAAATCTTAAATCTCCGAAAGTTCTTCGATTGCTTTGAAATTTTGACACAATGTTGCATTCGAATATGCGCGTGTTTTTATATACCTATTATATAGATGTCACATCTGTAACAGGTAAAAACATTTAACCTGTCTGAGCCACAGCAACGCGTGGCTGGGTACAGCTAGTATATCAATATATTTAGAACAGCAAAGTAGCTGTGGCAAGGATAGATTGCACCTCCATAGTTAATGTGCCAGCTGCAATCACTCATGAGCCAGTCAGACTTGGTGAGCTATGTATTATCATTATTTAATTTATATCCCATCTTTATTATTTTTATAAACAACTCAAGGAGGCAAACATATATAATGCTCCTTCTTTCTCCCATTTCCATGCAACAACCTTGCGAAGTGCGTCTCTGTTACAACCCAAAGTGAACACTGAGATGTATTCTATGTGGAGCTATTTTGGATAAACAAAACCCTATTGGCCTTCCATAAGGACCTAAAAATTTGGTTATGTCCCTGCATCTGGAGCTCTGAATGTGTTAAGGGCCTGGTGTCTTCACTTTAGTGTTAAATTGGATAATTTCCTCAGCCACTCTCTCTATATACAGGTAGTCCTTGACTTACGACCACAATTGACCCCAAAATTTCTTTTGTTAATTGAGACACTTATTGAGTTTTGGCTCAATTTATGACCTTTCTTGCCATAGTTGCTAAGTGAATCACTGCAGTCATTAAGTTAGTAACACAGTTGCTAAATGAATCTGTCTTCCCCATTGACCTTATTTGTCAGAAGGTCGCAAAAGATGATCACATGAACCCGGGACACTGTGACCATCATAAATATGAGTCAATTGCCAAGTGTCTGAATTTTGCAGTGGGAATACTGCAATGGTGGTGTGAAAAACGGCCATAAGTCGCTTTTTTCAGTGTCGTCGTAACTTTGAACAGTCACTAAATGAACCATTGTTAAGTCCAGGACTACCTGTATCTATTTCTGTGCTGTTTTCATCGGGTTTTAAACATTTTATTGTTTTAGAATTGTTAAGTTGCCCAGTCATTGGGTTGAGGTGGGCAGCTATATAAATTAATTAAATAAGTATGAAGGGATTTTAGTATGATTTTAGTATGTTTAAGTTTGACATTAGCATTTATTTTACATATAGTAACCATTTTATATTGATACTTATAGTGTTATCATGTGGTCATTGTTTTGTTATTTTGTAATCATTATTTTGTAGTTAATTGCTTGATCAGATGCTTTATATATATATATATATTGGAAAAGTAAGGGCTTCATGCTTTAGGTATAGGTGATTGCTTATATGAAAAGAGCACAGTAAGGGGAGGGAGGGAAAAGGAGTTACCGATGGAGCCTGGGTTGCTGTGTATCATCTAAGAATTGGTTTTTTTGTGCCATCTTATGCCTAATACCAAGACCTGATCTTTTTGTTCTGGAAAGGTATAAAAGGAGGAAGACATCTTTTCCGGTTGTTGCCTTCATCTCTCTACCAGCCACGAGGAGAGATGGGGGTCACCCAACTCTATTTTGATCAAAATAAAAGTTGGTTGCTTGCTGAAACCTCGACTCAGGAGTTTCTTTGGCTCTTTTAAATTCCTGAGTAATGCTGGGGCAGTTGTGAGGCTAAGTGGAAAACCTTACAACAGTGGTTCTCAACCTGTGGGTCGGGACCCCATTTGGGGTTGATTGACCATTTCACGGGGGTCGCCAAGCAAGGCTGTCCGCCATTTTTTTTGTCCACCATTTTTTCCCCCTTTTCCGGCGGGTGCCTAACCTCCCTTGGGCTGGGCCAGCTGGTGGTCGGTCTGCTCCATCTCTGCCGCTTGCCAGCTACGCCTCGGCCGGCGCAGGGGGTGGAACCACGCATGCACGGCGCTCCGGGGCAGGGAAAGTCCTTGACTTACGACCGGTTGGGTAGTCCTCGACTTACGACCGGTTTAGTCCTCGACTTACGACCGGTTTAGTCCTCGACTTACGACTGGTTGGGGTCACGGCATTAAAAAGGTTGAGAACCACTGCCTTACAAGTAGAAATTAGCTTAACAGATGCAATCCAATCACAGCTGAAAGAGGAAGGAGGAAGACTCCGGGTTTTCCACCCTCAAGTTTTTCGTTCTCCTTGCTAAGGGAAACTAAGATTGGGGGGGGGGGTCAGAGGCTCACTCACCGGATCGGGGCTTACAGGGAGGAAGGGGCACAAAGGAAGCGCTCCTTTCATTTTCCACTCAGGGCAAAGATGCCCGGTTTCCAGGCGAATTGGCCGCCCGGCTACCTCATGTTCTACTGTACTTAACCCGTACGACGGAATCTGGACGGCAACCACCAAGTTCCCGCCCAGCCGTCCGGCCTCACGCTCACCTGCGGTGACCCGTCCAAGGCTCTCCGGGTCAACACCACGGAGCCCCTGCCTGGGAGTTTCGGGCTACGAGCAGCGGCGACCAGAAATGGCTGAGAAAAGCCGCCCCTTTGGGGGCGCCTCCTCATGCTGGCTCGGCCGCGACTCCGCCTGACGGGGACTCGGGCCTGCTTATCGCCATCACTGGCGGGGAAAAGCGCGGGGCGGCGGGCGGGCAGCTTCCCGCAAAGTTCTCTGGCGGAACGCCGTTGCCAAGGCCGCGCGGCTCAGGTCAGAGGCGACCATTATCGCGCGCGCTTGGCGGCTCAGAAGGGCGCGAAGCGGGTGGATTTGCTTTTTTTTTTTTTTTTTTTTTTTCCCCGTCTCGAGGCGTTCGCCTGCCTCAGGAACGCTGGACTGTCCTCTGATCTTCATTAAGTTTGGATTTTATTAACCCTGGTCTGTTTTGAAAAAAAACAAACCCACAATTGATTGGTGGTGTGTGATTCTCTAAACCAGTGTTTTTCAACCTTGGAAACTTTAAGATGGGTGGACTTCAACTCCCAGAATTCCCCAGCCAGCAAAGCTGGCTGGGGAATTCTGGGAGTTGAAGTCCACCCATCTTAAAGTTTCCAAGGTTGAGAAACACTGCTCTAAACCTTGCTTTGACTATTACCCGAAATTGGCTGTTTTTCTGCACCACATAAGAAGCAGGCATGATGGTATACATGCGGAATTCTCACCGTATGATAATATGCCAAACCATAAATGTTAATAAATGTAGGCTTTGCACAAATCCACCACTGTAGATTCCTTTCGGGTCCTTGGTTTGTGCATTGCAGCATGCCTCGGTTTGTTTTAATCATGATGCAAAGGAATGTAGAAGACTGGGTGCTTTATTCCGATTTAGCATATTTATTTTGATCAGGTACTGGTATATATCCACATTATATGCTGGCTGTTAGAGTACATAAAACTCTAACCCATATGGTCTTTTGTTCATAATTAACCGTATTAGCCTTATTTACAACAATAAAATAATATTAAAAGTAAGATAATAAACAGAAAGAAGGAATTACAGTGGTGCAGATAATACTCATCTTCCAACTCTGTAAAAAAAATTACTAGTTTCTAGAAGGCCATTAGGGTGAATGGTTATTTGACCTCAAGAAGGAAGTCATTTCATAACATGGCTTTCTATAGGAAAACATTGGGGTATTATTAAGAAAATTTGTTAGAGAGCATTTACCAGATGAGGCATGGATGAGTCTTATTACCAACAACTGCTCAAGACCAAGGTCACTATGTATAGACTTGGCCATTGTGGTTTGTAAAACTATAGCTTATGACCATAATAGGCAACCATGGACTCCAGTTCTATTTTTATACTTCCAGATTTCCCAAATTGCACTGCTCAAAACTAGATTTTGGCAACATGATTTTTCTTCTCTTTCATTAACATATGCCTAAAATATGCTGGAGGCTTAAAACATTTTCATTTGGTAGCTAAAGCACACTCTCCCCACAGCAATAAACAAAAATGATTAATAATTTTGATTAAATCATTGTCATGACTTTGGAGGCCAGGTTTATTTATTTTAAGTGCATGTCTTAGTCCCCAAAAAGTTTACTGCCCCTTGGTTTATTTCTTTGTATACTGCATGAACTCAACTATTTGAAACTATGCATATGTGGTTACTGAGGTCAACCTCAAGAACTAGACTATTCAAAAATTAGTATTAGCATTCAAAAATTCCTAGAATAAGTGCCATGAAATTCACAGGAACTCACTTCTGAGTCAATATGCATGGGGTTTATGTCAATCATTTATTTCAGTGTAATAAATGCTAAAAACCCAAACCCCTGTCAACAATATAGAGCCATACCCATTAATTACAGCAATTTAAATCGGATTGGAAGGGTTTTGAAACAGACGTTTCATTTTATTAGCATTCAAAAATATTTATGGCTTTTCTGTCTTTCTCATTGATGGAAAAACTTTGTAGAATATAAATTAAAAACAGCAATATTTGGATTTCCTGCATATGCCAGTTTGAAAATCAGAATGGTTCTATAGTAACAGCTTCATACAGAAGCTACATGATTATAAGCCTAAATTAGACCATGCTATGGCAGGATAAAAGGCTCTCTTCATTGAAGTATACAGTTTTGTCTGATTATCTGAGCTGAGTCTGATTTGGTTACAGAGTCTGGGACATTGAATCCTGCTACTTGAAAGTTACATTCATCTCCCTCCTGGCAGGTTAGGGTCCCTCAAGAGGTGATATTTAGATATGTCAAGTGGTGGTAAATGTCCCCTGCTAGGATGGTGTGGTTCCACCTGTCTTTAGGGAAAGTAGGTGAGAAGATGATAGGCCAGCAACTTCAAATGACTCTATAGGAAGCATATTATCTGGACGCATACTGTAGCAGTCGGAGTTCAGGCTGGGATATAGCACAGAGATGGCACTAATCACACTGTTGGATGACCTCTTGAGAGCTCAGTTCGGAGGAGTATACCTGTCCTGGCTATTCTTGATCTGTCAATGGCTTTATAATTGATTCTGGGCCAGCTGAGGGGGCTGGGAGTAGGAGACACTGTTCTTCAGCTGTTTTAACTTCTTCCTTTGCTGCCTCCAGTTGGTGTTGGGAGGGGGGTTCAGCCTTAGCCCTCTGCTAAAATTGTACATCTCTGCCCCAGGCCATCCAGGTGATGCTGTCAAAGTGTTTTCTCAGTGCCTGGAAGTTTTGCATTCCTGAACAGGGCTGAACTGTATAGAGGGAGTAGGGAATGAAGGACAGGAGGAAGATTTACTAAGATTTACTAAGATAAGAAGGACTTGAATCTGGGCCAAGAAACTGACTTGAGAAAATGTATAAGGTAAATCCCTCCCTGGTTCACATGAAGATAAAGCAGTGGTTCTCAACCTGTGGGTCGGGACCCCATTTGGGGTCGATCGACCATTTCACGGGGGTTGCCAAGCAAGGCTGTCCGCCATTTTTTTTGTCCACCATTTTTTTTGTCTGCCATTTTTCCCCCTTTTCCGGCGGGTGCCTTACCTCCCTTGGGCTGGGCCAGCTGGTGGTCGGCCTGCTCCGTCTCTGCCGCTTGCTAGCTACGCCTCGGCCGGTGCAGGGGGCAGAACCACGCATGCGCGGCGCTCCCGGGCAGGGAAAGTCCTCGACTTATGACCGGTTGGGTAGTCCTCGACTTAAGACAGGTTTAGTCCTCGACTTACGACCGGTTTAGTCCTCGACTTACGACCGGTTGGGGTCGCGGCATTAAAAAGGTTGAGAACCACTGAGATAAAGGAAGAAAGAGGGAAGCACATTCAGACTTGCAAGATTATGTTGCTATAACTTTATAATGAATTTCTTAGTCTTGTGTAGGTTATACAGCTGACCAACTTGATAAGATTGAATGGCTGTGAGTTTTAAGGCTCCTTCTATCTGATAACTTTCCTTTGTTAATTCTGAATGGGATTATACTCCTCCAGGCAGAGTGAGTGCACGGTCTGGGGATCCCTTTGGACTCATGGCATCAGTTTCAAGAGCAGGTGACAGCTGTAGCTAAGAGGGCCTTCACCCAAATGCACCTTATTATGTCAGTGGTGCCCATTCCCAATGGAGAAGCACTGCTATTCACGCTACTACAACACACTCTACTTAGGGTCGCTTTTGAAAGCTATTCAGAAGCATTAGCTGAACAAAATGGAACAGCACTTGCAGTATTGTGTATAGGTAGTCCTTGACTTACAACAGTTCATTTAATGACCGCTCAAAGTTACCACGGCATTGAAAAAAGTGACTTTTGACCGTTTTTCACACTTGACACCCTTGCAGCACCCCATAGTCAGATGATCACAATTCAGACCTTGGCAACTGATTCTGATTTATGCTGGTTGAAGTGTCCCAAGGTTATTCAATCCCTTTTTGCAACTTTCTGATGAGCAAAGTCAAATGGGCAAGCCAGATTCACTTAACAACCCTGTTGTTAACTGATTCACTTAACAACTCTGGCAGGGAAGGTCACAAAAGTGAGCAAAACTCACTTAACAACTGTCTCACTTAGCAACAGAAATGTTGGGCTTGATTGTGGTTGTAAGACAATGACTACCTGTACATTACTGCATTGGGGCCCAGTAGGTTTCCAGGTTCAATTTTAAGTTGCTATTGGTTATCTTTAAAAATGATATGGGGGCCAGGTTATTTATGGAAACATTTTTCCCTGATGGCTTCTTCCTATCCCACCAGATTGGGCAGGGTAGGCATGCTCCAAGTCCCTTCAGTAGGGCAATGTCACCTGACATTTCCTAGGAAATGTGCCTCTTCTAATCGTGGTGCTTGCCCTATGGAAGAGCCCCCTCCCAGGGATAACAGAGATTCTAACCTTGCCGGCTTTTCAGAAGACTATGAAGACCTGGCTCTTCCCCCAGGCTTTGGGGCCAGACTGTTCATTCTGGAACTTTGGTACATGTATGCACGATGTGGGTTCCCCCTGAGATTTTTAACAAGGGGCCCTCTCTCTCAATTTTTTTTTTTTTGTATACTGAACAAAGTTTACATCTGTCCATGTTTTATACTATATGTTCTGCCCAGAGTTTTGTGGATACATGGGTGGCATTATAAATTTGATAAAGTTAAGGACAATAGCCCACTACACTGGTCAAGAACAGGTTGGTTGATAGATGTTTTTGGACTTCCCAGTCTAGGGATAAGAGAGAATGACTGACCCAATATTACTCAACCATTCTAGACTCTGGATCTGATCCAGTATCTTAACCTCTACATCAGCGGTTCTCAACCTATGGGTCGCGACCCCATTTGGGGTCGATCGACCATTTCACGGGGGTCGCCAAGCAAGGCTGTCCGCCATTTTTTTTCCCCTTTTCCGGCGGGTGCCTTACCTCCCTTGAGCTGGGCCAGCTGGTGGTCGGCCTGCTCTGTCTCTGCCGCTTGCCAACTATGCCTCGGCCGGCGCAGGGGGCGGAACCACGCATGCGCGGCACTCCCGGGCAGGGAAAGTCCTCGACTTACGACCGGTTGGGTAGTCCTTGACTTACGACCGGTTTAGTCCTCGACTTACGACCGGTTTAGTCCTCGACTTACGACCGGTTTAGTCCTCGACTTACGACCGATTGGGGGTCATGGCATTAAAAAGGTTGAGAACCACTGCTCTACATTCTACTGGCTATCAGAAACTGTACTACAACATAAATGACTAAGAGAATTTTAAACCTGGATCTTTCACTTCTAGTCTAATATTTTAACCTCTACACCACACTGGCTTTCAGAAGTGCTACGGCAACATAAAGGTAGAGAATTTTGGCCTTTATTTTTCATTTTCTCTCTCTTTTTCTCTCTTTCTTCCTATCTCTTCTCTTTTTCCAGTGAAAGGACAAAAGCTCGGATTCTCTCCTTTCTGCGTATTGAGGCACTTACGGCATTAAAGAATCTTTTCTAAAATTTCCAGAAAGAGTTTGTGCCCTTTGTTGTCAGTAGAGGGAGCTGAAAGTATTTCTAATAAATCCTTTGACGTGTTTTTTTTTTTATTTTCCTACATATAAATTTATATTTGTTGACAGGGTAGGGAGGGAAGAAGATAGGGAAGCATGCACACTATCTCTGCAGAAGAAGCAAAACTCATGCATGTTCAGTTGCTCAAGCACTTGAATGCATCAAACCATGACAAATAGGGTAAGCTTTTTTTCATTTACATCCTTCTACCATATTTGCGTATGTTCCTTTTCAATTTGTTTTATATTTAATAATTTAAAAAAAGCTCTCGGATAAATTTATAGCTCTTGTTTTTATAGCCTGTGAATATTTCCTAGTTAGTTTATACAATTTGAAGGGATGAGCTACTTTGGCTCAATGGTTAAGACACCAAGCTAGAAAGTGGGAGACTGTGAGTTCTAGCCCCACCTTAGCCAGAGTGGCCTTCAGTCAATCACTGGTTTTCAGCCCAATCCACCTCATAGAGTTGTTGTTATGGGGAAAATAAAAGGAGAGGTGTGTGTTGGTTATGTTCACTGCCTTGAGTTATTTGTAAAAAAAACAAACAATAAAGGCAGATATAAATAAATAAAATCTGATATTTAATCAACTCTTAAAAATAAATGTATTCTTCCTATCACACTAAGTAGCATTTCCCCTTGATTATAATCATTCTTAGGCTCTGCTGTATATTCTTTAATGGGCCGAGATATAGGGCTTTCCACTTTTCTATACTCTCCTATGTGTTTTTCAAAATTTGGATTGCTAACAAAGAATTAAGGGAGAACTGGAATAGCCATTTCGAACTTTTTAGTTCTTTTCAACCAGACATACCCTTCTGAGATTCGAACCTGGGCTGTCTGCATGTTAGGATAACTAACATAATAAATAACATAATAAACTAACATAATAAACTCAAGATAACTCTCCTATGTAAAAGTAAGGGGGGGGAGTGCAGTTTATAGTGGCAGGTGGCTTTATTCTTCTCACTTCTGGGATTTCTGTGCTTACTGCCTTTTTTATTCTCCATTTTTTTCCAGCCATAATTTCTTCAGGGTTATGTTTGCAACAGCATTGTTCTGAATAAATCAACGTGGTTTGTACCTATAATATTATGGAAGAAAAAATAACAGTAACGTTCCTTGTGTGGCTTTCTTTGTACAGCACTGGCTGTTAGTTAGCCAACGCTGTACAAAGATAGCCACACAAGGAATGTTACTGTTACTTTTTGTTCCGTAATATGATAGGGCATATTTGCAAGAAATTATATCTCAATTTGTTGCCCCAACCCGGAAATCCTTGTATTTCCAAGAAGCTGAAGAAAACTATCAGTAAACAATGTTAGTTCTTAGATTTTTTTTTAAAATGTCTTTGAGTTTTGTTAGGACTAAAAAGATAAATGTGAGGTTACTGTAGTTCTCTCCATTAGATGACTTCTTTATATCCCACAACATTCCTTTGGTCCACTAATTTTGTCACTTGGTCAAAGAATGCAATAAGATTGGTCTGGCATGATCTGTTTTTGACAAACCCATGTTGGCTTTTAGTAATGACTTTGTTTGCCTCTAGGTGTTCTCTGATTCGTTGTTTGATTACCTTTTCCAGAATCTTCCCAGGTATTGAGGTCAGGCTGATAGGTCTGTGGTAATTAATAGAGCAGAGAAATGCCACTGAGTGTTCCTCGCATCCCATTAATTGCCTCATGAACCCGATAAGCATCTTAAAATGCCACATACTCATGCTGCAGCTTTTCTCTCACCCCCAGCCAACAACTGATGCAACAAAGTAATCTTTGGCTTTTCCAATTCAAAAGTGTTATTTTCCTTCCTCTCCTAACAAAGTTTTGGGTGATCTAACATGCTAGTTGATGTCATCTAACATGCTAGTATGTAGTTGATGTCAGGAGATCTTCCTATCTCCCATTAGGCTCCCCTTGGTCACTGGGTACTGCTCCTATTTTTACTTGGACTGCAGAAAGGCTATACATCCTTTAAGACAGTGGTTCTCAACCTTCCTAATGCCGCGACCCTTTAATACAGTTCCTCATGTTGTGGTGACCCCCAACCCCCCATCCAGCTGGCCGGGGGGGTATCAAAAACTTGACCAAAAAAAAGAGAGGAAAAAATGGGAAAGTATAGGTAGTCCTCGACTTACAACAATTCGTTTAGTGACTGTTTGAAGTTACAACAGCACTGAAAAAGCGAATTATGATCATTTTTCACACTTACGATTGTTGCAGCATCCCCAGGGTCATGTGATTTACATTCAGATGCTTGACAACTGATTCATACTTATGATGTTCACAGTGTCCCAGGGTCACATGATCAATGGCCAGGGGGCGTGGCCAGCTGATCACTCAGGTTGCAGAGTGCCTGTGGGGGGGAATCTGTGGGTCTCTGGGATGGGACTGGGGTGGGTGCCTGCCTTCCTTCCCTCCCTCTCCCATTGTCCCTTCCTTCCTTCTTTTCTTCCTTTCCTTCACTTCCCTTAGTCTCTTCCTCCTTCCCTCCCTCTTTCCCATTGTCCCTTCCTTCCTTCTTTCCTTCCTTTCCTTCACCTCCTTCTTAGTCCCTTCCTCCTTCCCTCCCTCTCTCCCTGTCCAGCCCCGGCGGGCTCGACATAAACGGGCGGAGGAGGAGTCGAGGACGGGCAGGGTGGCAAAGGAGACCGGCAGCCATCGCCAGACCTCCCGGCTGACAAGCGCAAGTTCGGGGGTCGCCAGCTGACGGGCGCAGGAGTTGGGTGCTGTGGCGGCCTCCCCTTCGCTGACCTGCGTGCATGAGAAGAAGTCAATCCGGTTGCTGCACAATGAGTCTCTGGGGAGGGCGGGGCCTTGCTCTGCGCCTGCGCTCTTCATGCGCCCCCTGCAGGGCACATTTGGTAGACTTCGTGCAGACTGCCGCCAAGCAGCATATTTTCCACAAACAAGTGAGGTGGAGCGGAGGGGGGGAGGGAGAGAAGGCGGTTGACAAGCCCTGCCTAAGACCATCGGAAATATGTGTTTTCCGATGGTCTTAGGCGACCCCTGTGAAAGTCTCGTGCGACCCCCAAAAGGGTTGCAACCCACAGGTTGAGAACCGCTGCTTTAGGACATCTACCTGTGTGTAAAACTAAAGAAAGAACAGATGTAGCAGATGCTTATTGTAGAGCAGGGTGTCAAACTGCCGGCCCGTGGGCCAGATGCATAATAGCGAAACCACGCCTACTCCATTGCCGGCAATGGCAAAAAAGTCACAATGCGTCGCGACATGTCACGTGACATTGCAAGTTTGACACCCCTGTTGTAAGAAATCTTGAGTGGCTTGCTTAAGGAAAGGCCAGGAGAAATGTGACTGCATTTTGTATTAAGGTCTTAACTCTGGTTTCATTAAAGTCCCTATCTTATTACCTCAAGATATACATTTGACTGGAATTTGCATTGGTTAGGACAGAATTAAATTGTTTTACTGTTGTGTTCACTACAAGATATTTCTGAAGCACTTGAGACTGGCTAAACATACCGTACCAATGGCTTACGAACAGCCTGTCAGCATGTTATCATCTGAAACTGCCTGAAAGTACAGATATTTATCTGTGTCCAGGCTGTGAAATCCTGTTTTCCCTTGTACGTGTTGGCTTTGAATGTAGAGCCAACATTTAGGAATAGCTGGAAAGTGTGAACAGGAAAGCCACAAGAATTCATACCACAAGCTCTCTAAATTATAATTATAAATTCATAACATGAGCCTATATGTGTTTACTACATTGAGTAGGTTTTCCTCTGATAAGTGTACAGTATAATGATTGCCTAAAGTAAATATTTCTTTAGATAATTCCATATTTACAATCTGGGAGATTAACACCGTTGAGTTGCTTTACAGATTTATTTTCAAAATTTGCAGAAATGTCCAGTATCTATTTTTATTATTCACTGATTTGAAACAGATGCTGGTCCATGCTATAACGCTTCTATCTTTCTAAATATTTCTGTCCTCAATAACAAGCCAAGTTACTCAACCGGGGTGGGGTTTGGTATGTTTATTAAGTTATTATTGCATCCAGTTTCTGTCCAAGCTGAGAGCTGCTGAAGTTCTCCTTCCCATGCAGCTGCTAAGACACAGGAATACCACTGGCCAAGTTGTTGGAAGGATGGAAGAAATAAGGAAAATAAAAAAAGACAAAGGGACAGAGAGAAGATATTATTGTGTAATTAATTTTCACATAATACTTAAACAGGCAAATCGGCTGCATTCTATTCTGCAGCATTAATGGCTAACAAACTAGGCCATATTTTAAAAGGTAGAGCAGAGGTCCCCAACCTTTTGGGCACCAGGGACCAGTTCCGTGGAGAGAGGTTTTTCCACGGACCAAAGGGGGTGTGGTTTTGTGTGCTGTCTGCATCCAGTGAACTGGATGCAGACATCACTTATTTGCGCCCAGTTTCTGGCATGCTGCGGACCGGTGCCTGTCCATGGACTGGGGGTTGGGGACCCCTGAGGTAGAATATAGAATTTCCCTAATTGCTTTCCTCTTGTGTTTTGTTTTGTTTTCTTTCTTCCTGTTGCCGTTGTTCTTTTTGTTGCTGCATTTGATTTAGTGGAATCTGTTACTAACACAATGGCTCCCATTTATTTTACACAGTGGCTAAAAGTGGGTTTAGGCCTGGTTGGTACTGAATGGGAGAACGGGAGAACACTAAGAAATTCTAGGACTATAGGTCAGATTTGGGAAATTTAAAAAAAAAAACATTTTGGAAGAAGACAGTGGCAAATCACTTATGTATTTCTGTCAAGCAAAGTTCATGTGTATTTCCATGTAATGATCTGGTTGGGAGCTTAGAATAAGAATTTTTATCTTATTTTGTATGCTTGCTCTGACTTCTATGGGAGCTGAGCTTTAACACATCTGTAAGGTATGAAATTAATTGCTGGAATAAAAGTAAAATGAACAAAACAAAGTTGAAGAACTAAGAAATCAGAAACCACTCTATCTTCTCAACAGAATGAGAACTTAAGCCTGTTAGATCAGCACTGCTAGTGGTTGGGGATGATAGGTCTTAGAATTCATCAATATCTGGCAACCACATTTTCCCTAATCCTTTTATATGCAGTACAGCTCAGTGGAGGGTGGTTGGCCTTTAGGATTTTACTGACATGCTGAGAAAACACATATTAGGTATGTTCAATGCCTTGGATTTGTTTCCAAAAATATGTTCTGTTTAG